TCACTTTTAAAAACTTTTAAGATTTTATTCGTATTAATGTAATAAAAGTATTTAGGAAAGCTCCCATTAAAACATAATCTACAACAATATATTGTATTTTATACTTTTTAAAATATATCATATAGAGTAATCAGAAGGGATATTTTTTCAGCTAAAAACTGGGTTAGAAATTTGCTTAAGTTTTGTTTGCCTAAGTTAGAGAATGAGGTACGATTTGGGCAACTACATAACGTTTTAAAAAAAGTGTAATTGCAAGCCTTAAAAAGTAGTTAGCTTGCGAAAGCAACAAATCAAAAATAACAGAATAAGTTTGCTTAACAACTATATGATGTAATTAGTAATTTTGCATTACTTTAGTTTTACTATATCTTTTCACAGGATGTTCAAAAACTACTTTTAAAACCGATTAACTTAAATACGCATGTACAGTAAGCCAAAAAAAAAAAAAAAGGAAAAGGTTAAAAAAAGGATATCAGCCTGAATAACTTTAATTCTAATGATCGGATTTCCATGTACCAAGTGTCAATCTTAATGGTTCCTGGGGATGACCTCAAATATGCAAATTAGTGCTAATTATTAATTAAGTTACGAAATCGGATACAAAAACGTTATTTCTCTGAATAAACACATGAAAATATATTTTTTTTACACATTTGGATTTTTAACCTTCAAAATATAGGGGGCAGCTGCAATCGGGGAAATATGGTCCCCGTAGTTTGGTTAGGAGAGCGATCCAAAGTTCGGTCCCCTTAATGTTAATTGCACATTTTGCGTTTTTAGTCATATTTTTAAAACCAATTAAGCAATTCAAAAAAAATTTCAAAAACATATAAAACCGATTTACCAAAAGATAAAGGTTAAAAGAAAAGATTTACCAAAGATTATTAAAGATAAAAGATTTCATGCAAATAACAACTTTTTATAATTATTTTTTATTTTTTACTATTTAATTGAATTGTTGATTTAAAAAAATTGAAGTATGATGCAAAAAAATTTTTATTCCATATTAATTTACGTATTTTTCTATTGCAAAGTCTAAATTTTCAACAGATTTTACTTGGAAAAAGCTGAGAAAAATTTAAATTAATTATTTTTAAAAAAAATAATTTGGCGACAATGAAGAAATATTTAAATGGGGTGATAAATGTTTAAATGCGGTTAGTTTACGAAGAAATTAACTTACGCGCGCGTAGAGTAAGTATTTTTTTCGCTCATAACTGATTGCTAATCCTTTTTTTTTATTATTATTATTATAAAATACTATGTTTCTTTTTTAATCTTTTAAACATTTATTCGTAATTTAATAAAAGAGATTTGAATAAACCATTTCATTGAGTAAAGAAATTTTCTTCAATGTAGAGTTTTATAAAAGAATGTTGCTGATAGAAAGTGATTATACATCAGCTTTTTTAAATTTTACTTCTTATTTTGTTCTTTCAATAATTGATACAATTTCATTAATATACAAAATGATGCATAGATTTGGAATAATATGTTTATCAATTTCTTCAATATGTCTTTTGTAATTATTAATACGAATACATAGTCAACATTTTTAAGCATCTTAAAATTTTTCAACATCTTATATATCGTCTTAATCTTAGAATAAATGTGTTAATCACCTGTTCGCGCGTTGTTTCCGCAGATTTATTTTGCCAACTATTTAATTAAATTTTAACGTTTCTCAAAATCTAATTCTTAGGCAACCACGCATATAATTTTTCCATTAATATACTAACCAAACGGTGTAGTACTTTAATTTAGGTATTTCTTTAAAGTAAAATTCCTTTTTAAATTATTGCCAAGTTTTTATTGAAAGGAAACTTAAAATTATTGCCAGCTAGTTGAGAGTTAAATCTTGATTAGAAATTGAAAATATTCCGCTGACCAAAATTAAACAATGCAGATCAGCAGACTATTTACTAAGCATACTAATTTTTTCGAAAAATGAAGAGAAATTAATGATTGTCTTTTTTATTGTTTCCTATTTATTTGAGTAATAAAAAGTAAATGCGTATGTAAGCACAGCAAAAAATACAAGTTTGCTTTGTTCTTTAATTGAAAGTCAAAATAAAATTGTGTGTCCATAATTTTTTGTTCAAAGTTATTCCTCCCCTTCTAACTTTTAGAAAGTTGCCCTTTTAAAAAGGATAATATTGGAAAAATTTGCTTAAAAATTTGTTAATACTATTTCTCAACTTAATCACAATTCAAAAAAATATTGCTATATCAAAAAAATGCTCGATATGCCTTATTTTGTTAAACAGGAAAGTAAAAAGATTCCAAAAACGTGCTATTTTTAATATCTCAAAAATTGTTCCTTGTCTAACATGCTTTTTTCTACTTAAATAACCTATAATAATAGTTTTAACACACGTTTTGAAGAAATTATGAATACAAATTTCTTCTAATATTTCGCAATATGGAACCAAGAATATTAATGATTCATTGATAATTGTTTCATTGAACCAGAGTAGTTAATTTTTCTTTTTTTGAAATAATCGGCCTTGCAACTATTTAACTTTGATTCTTTGGACTAGGGGTTATTTCAAGCATGTCATTCGACTTTGACATTTTCAAATATAAAATGTAAAAATTACAAGAATGCGTATTCTGGATCACTTAGAGGTTACTAAGTTGTGTAAAAATCTAATCGAAGATTCAAATTTTTTGTCAAACATAACATGGATGATTGTTAATTATTTAAATTATGATTTGTTCTGGGTTTACACTTTTATTGGAGAGTTATTTTGAGAATTGAAACTTTGAACCATAAACCCTAAATTATATATATGAAAACCCTTAACTATAATAACTTGGAACATTAATCATTTGAAATTTATTGGAAAATTTTTCAATTATAAAATTTTTTCAATTATAAAATTTTTTAATTAATTATATTCTGGAATTTTTCTATCGAAACTCAATTTATTTCAATTGTGTTGTTCAATCGAAATAACAGTTTAAAGAAATATTATTTTCAATAAAAATATTTGTATATAACTTTTGCTTTCTAATAACACACCAACCAGTTTAAAACACAAATATTTCCATCAGTAGAAAACTAATTTTTTAACTGACCCTAACCCAACCACACCTGTTTTTTCTTTTACATAATTATCTTGTTTCCCCCACCCTATTGATCAATGCTCTTTTTCCTTGTTGTAACTTGTTTCTAATTATTTTCCTGTACATCTGTGCTTCTTTCCTTCACTCTGTAAAAATACCTAAGTATAACAATGTGGGAAAACTGATTTTACAGCCCCAACAAGATTGATTTTACAGCTCCAGGCATCGCAATGCTGAATCGCTTAACTACAAGGATGGATTATTTGTTAGACATTTGTTCGATTTCATAGATTCGATCATTTGTTAGATTTGCTTAACTACATCATTTGTTAGACTGCTCCTTTGGCAAAAAAGCTTAGATGAGTAATAGGAATATATTTGTTATCAGTACACAAAAACTACAAAATGGAACTGGGAGGCACCCCTGCAGATTATTTTTCTACATAATTATCAAACCTTTCCAGGCATTTATTTAATAACCGTCGTTGTACAGCAGCCCCACTTTTACGTTTACGACTACTTCAACACCGTAGGCTTGTAATTTTGAACCCAATTCAGGAGAGGAAAACCACAAAACGTCCCATGGTTAGCCCGACGACAAGGGAGATTACTCTAACCCATGATCCATCTACAACTGAGGATATTTTACATCACTGTGGTCAGTGCGAGTTGGGTGCGGAATTCGTATTGTCCAGCGATTGATGGAATTGGAACCCGGAGCACCTCATTGGAAGGTGAGCACTCAGTCCCCTGAGCCACCAGGCATTTATTGGAATGCACGACCAACTTGCTCCGACCTCAGCCCATCTTAGTTGAAATTATGTGCAACTTTGACTGTTTAGTGAGTTTGTGACATTGAATTTTGGTCTGGTCACATTTTGCAACTTTTACCCTTTCCTTTTTAAGGCGGCAGCTTTAAAATTTTTAGTCTGCTAAGAGCCAGTTACACCAGTTTGTCGGCTATTTTGATCTACAAGTGCAGCCATTGTTTCGGTATAACTCCCTTCTTCTCTGCCCCTTCCAAAAATAAAAATTTACGGATAAAAACTAGAGAGGAAGGAACAAGTTTACTAAGAACGTTCTTTTTTTTTTTAAAAGGCGCAGACTAAGAACTTTGAAGCGGCGCCCTTAAAGAGGGAAAGGGTTGTTTGTTGTTGTTGACGTATGCCTGTTTAGGCAGAGGGGGTGCGATTGTTCTTGTTTTCCAGTGGCGCCATCTATAGCCAAGAATTCGACTTCTGCCACACCATACGTCGCACCCGTTTATAGAGCGGACTCATTCATACATCCACAGATCCTAATTTTGACCTGAATCAGAGAACTATCGACCTCCAATCCAGTAACTCCAGAGGTATTGATTTGTTATGTGAACATGGAGGTCTTTTGCGACCCGACAGATTTAATGTGCACCAGTCACTTAACTACACGGGGAGTCTTCGGCAGGCGGGGTTTGAACCCACGAACTCTCGAACATGGGCCCAGCGCCCTACCGACCAGTCTATCCCGGCCAGGAAAAGGGTGAAAATTGTAATTCAATGATCTGATGTCACACAGGTCATTGAATTAGTAGTAGTTTGTAGTAGTTATAGTAGTTTTCACCACAATAAAAAAATTAACAATTTCCAAAATTAAAAGCTTGTTTTGAACAAGCTACGCTGCTTAGTGAAAATTGCAGCACAAAATAGCTAAAACTGGCTAAATTAACAAGGTCGTGATTTCTTGTCAGATAGGTAGAATATATTGGTCCAGCATTTCAATAAATGCATGGATGGATTTGATGACTATGTTAATGAGCTCAAGACAAGTATGTCTTTTATTTCCATATTTGTAACTCTTTTAATTACAAGGTAATAAATATGTAACTGATTTTCGTCAATAAAAAAAATATTACAATATACAGCATTTAAAAAGAAAGATAAAAAAAACAGAAAAATGATATCAAAGTTTTATTATAAAAATAAGGGATAAAGGATACATACGATTTAATCACAAGCTCTGGTTTGAAAAAAATAATACACAACAATCATCTTAACTAGTATAAAAATATTTCAACACATTTTTTACCTGAAAATGTTACCTTTTTTTAACAAAAAATATGCCAGTAGACTAAACAACGTAACCTATTCTTAAAATATTAAATACACAATGTAAAGAAAAGTTAACTCTTTTTTGCAATTTAAGTTAAATACTGATTTTAATACAGGGTGACCAGAAATAACTTCTAAGCTAAATTCAGTGGTGCGAAAGCCCATAAAGGGTCAAGGCCTACTGTGCCCATCTAAGTTTTCTTGACCTTTGACTCTGGGGTGCAGGAGCAGATGCTCTAGTTTGGTGGTCCGCAGAACCCCTACTGTTCAGTCCCCAAGCATACTTGGTACTCATTTTATTGACCGACTAAAGAGATGAAAGGCTGAGTCAACTTTGCCCGGCCTGAGGATAAAACCCAGGACCTGCACGATGTGCTACCACTCTGCCACCCAGTGTCAGAAATAACTTCTATGAATTTTAAAATAGAATATTTTTAACCCAACTTATCTTAAGCTCATTCAAGAAGATGTTACAGGAATATGTTATAGTAAGAACTAACTTGTTTTTTTTTTTATAACAGTCGTTGAACAACCAACCCAATTTTTGGGTTTCTGACTACTAATGTTCAACTATGTAGTCTTGCAATTTTGTATCTAATCCAGAAAACAAGGGAACTCCTGGATAAAGTATTGGAAGAAATTTGCCTTCCTGGAGAACTTTTTATTGGAACTAACCCGCATTTGCCTTACATGGAGAGGAAAACCACGAGAGCTTCCCACGGTTAGCCTGACGGCAATGAGACTCTAACCCATGAACCGTCTACCACTGAGGATATTTCACATCAGCACTGTGGTCGGTGCAAGATAGATGAGGATTTCGTATCGACCAGCCATCCCTGGGATTCGGACCGGGTTTACCTCATTGGAAGGCAAATGCTTTATCTCCTGAGCCACCGCGGCTCATCTACATTCAAACCAAAAACGGACCACCCGAAAGGATTTTTTTTCAGAGCACAGAGCTAAAATCATTTGAAAATGGTGTAAGGCACATTTTCTAGATTTTTTTACAGCACTATGGCCACCTTATTTCACAAACTTGAATCAAATGGAATGGATTTTTCTTTTTGGTCTATCTTGGAGACTATAGTTAATTATAAAAGACATTGTCATTCCTAAAAAAATTGTTAAATGGGACAAAATATCAGCATGTTGTAACAAGTTTAGGGCTCTGCATTAAGGCCAAAGATAGTAATTTTGAAATTTTATACTTTTGTTACAGGTAATGATGCTTTCCTGCTTATTTGAAAGTTTGATCGTGATGTAATGCAAAAAAGTTTTTTCTTACAAATTACTTTAGTATGTATTTAAGTTATTTTTGTCACACTGTAATAAACTAGATAATCAAAAATTATCAATTCATTTAGGTCATTTATAAATTAGAAAGAAAATATAATTAAAGCATAATATCTCATTTTCAAAATAGCTGTCATAACGTACTACAATACACACTAACACAATGTTACATGTTGCAAAATTTTTGTTAATAGTAGCAGAATCATTAACTTTATACAATGTGATATAATAAGAAAATAATAGTAAATATATTAGTAAAAAAAAACTACCATTTAACACAATTTCCTCTTGAGAGAAATAAATAGAAATATGAAGAAACGTAACAACAAAGAACAAACAATAAAAGTGTATTAATAAAACCATAAATACAAATTTAAGATTTAACACATAAAGAGATAACATGTGATTGTCCAAATAAAAGACACACGGGTTACATTGTTAAAAATTAAAACTGTTATAGGTTAACACAGGAAATATAATAAAATACATAAACTATTCTTAGACATTAATTAACAACTATAAAATAAATCCAGAAGATATTAATCACAACCAATATAAATGTAAAAAAGAAAAACAGAAACTAAAGTATATTTCTCTCAGCAGTAAGTAGTATCAGGAAATTATAAATCAACCATAAAATTAGAGTCCCATTTCAAGTTGAAGAAAAACAAAAAAAACTTATGTTTAGAGTAAAATGCAAAGTACTTCAAAAATTTAACATAATTTTGAAAGTTAGTAACTTACAAAATGTTTAAAGCAAGTAGCGGTATCTGAAATAATTTAACAAATAAATAAATAATCTAATTTATAGAAACAATCTTTCACCCTAATTGAACTTTACCACAAAACACATGGTAATATCTGAGGAGTAATTTGTATTGTTGCAAATGTGATGGACTTTTAAAATTGAATAAACAAATTAATATATAAATCTATTTTGAAACAAAAATTAACTTTTAAATGCTTTAAAAATTTAAACACTATGCCATACTGAATGATTAACTCCTTAAATCAAAACGGAGGTGGCATTAATGGTTAAAAACTAGGGAGATTTCCGATTACTTTGTTTGAATAGTAGTCAAATTTTCTTTATTTCCTTAAGTTTTATGAAGTTTATATTTGCTTACACTATCCTAAGAAGGGTTATAATATCGAGTTAGATTACTTATTAAACAAAAGTTGGCTGTTTGCTAAATTTCTTATAAGCAGGACAGGGTTATAAATTTTTAGAATAAGTAGTAAAACCATTCTTAAAGTAGTGTTGTGGAATTGATATATCTCTTTACAAGACGAACATAAATAATGTAACCAAAAAATATTGCAATAAAATTATAATAAAATAATAATTTTAAGTAATTTCCTTTATAAAAAATTGTGATTAATGTGAAATTTACTTATCTGTAAAATTTCAGTAGAAATTGCACATAAGAATTAAAATACAACGAAATGTAACAAACGAAAAAAATCATAAAATATATAAAACAAAGAACATAGTATTTAGAATAAACAGACAATTGATAATTGCCCAAAAAAAAACACACATTGCATTGCTAAAAAATAAAAACATAGGTTAATACAGGAAAAATAATAAAATAGATAAATGAGTGGTTTTAAAATAACAATAATCAAATTCCCTGATTCTCAATCCCAAGGGAATCCTCCTGTGTTTTCATAAAGAGTAATAACACAAGAAACTAGTTCAGTAAGCAGAAAAGTATGTTAAACACTTCACTACATACTGAATTGTCAAAATGTAAAACAAGGTCTTTGAACAATAAGAAACAATTTTTGAAATTATTTTAACATAACTAGCAAATAAATTTTAAAATTATTTTGTCTTGATAACCAACATACTTTGAGATTATTTAAAAACACATTTATAGAATCTCAAATATCATTTAATCAAAGGGCTGTTAAAATATCATATGGCTATATTTTTGATGATGTTAGACTTCAAGCAAAAGTAGATGGGTATGGTGTAGTTGATGGGTAAAATTAATTGGATGGGTATGGCTAGATTCACAGTAAACGCCCATGTCTCAATCAAGTGAAGAATGTTTTAAAAAATCTAGCTGAAAGCCACTAGAAGAGATTGTAATACAATGAGACATCGGTATCAACGCACACTGTGAATCTACTCTATCATTAAATATAAAAAGCCATTCCAGATATATTTGCTAATAACAAATGCAGTAGGTTCTTAACTATCTGGCGGAGGGGTAGACTATATAACAAAATAACCTGCTTGGACCAAGTTCCACATTCTATCTCTTTATAATTCAAAATACCCAATACACACTTTAAAATAAACGATTAAATCGCAAAAATGATAAACATAAAAATTTTCAATGTTTGTTAATAATAATAGTCGTAGTACTTTATTTGTACAACACTAAAGTGTGCACAAAGAGCTATTGGGGATGCACTGGGAAACATCCCTGAGGATGATCCAAAACATGCCCTCACAATTTTGATCCTCTACAGAGGGAATGACAGCCCATCATAGGTAACCCAACAACCTGCGTGCTAAGTCGAGCACTTTACAATAGAACATTTTAACAAAGATCAATACTGTGAAGCCTTTATTTTTTCACAGGCTGATCAAAGTGGCCAACCAACCACTAACTGAACCTTGACTTTGGTGATCTACTGGGAGCGGAAGCCATGTCTTATAATCAGTCCACAGTGGAAACAATGAACAGTTGACTTGATTCTGAGTCTACGACAACCAATGTTCAACTATAAAGCTTTATAATTTTGAACCCAACAAAGAAGACAAGGGAACTTCGGGATGGAGAGGAAAACCAAAAAAACTTCCCACTGTAAGCCAGACAGAAAAAAAAATTCTAACTCATGATATCTAACCACTGAGAATATTTTACATCAGTATTGTGGTCCGTGCGAGTTGAAAGAAAATTCTTATCAACTAGCTATACTGCTGGGATTCGAACCTGGTTCACCTCATTTTGAGGCAAACACTATCCACTTAGCCACCCTGGCTCACTAATATTTATTAATAAACTACAGGGCACTGGGTCCATGCCCGAGAATTCGTGGGTTCGAAACCCCTCCGGCGAAAGACTCCCCGTGTAGTAAATGGTGACAGGTGCGCACTAAATCTGTCAAGTGGCAAAGTCCTCCATGTTTCCATAACAAATCAATACCTCTGGGGGTACTGGATTGGAGATCGATCGTTCTCTGATTCAGGTCAAAATTATGATCTCTGGATGAATGAATGGATGGGTCCGCCCTATAAACGGGTGTGACAGAAGTCAAATTCTTGGCCATAAATGGCACCACTGGAAAAACAAGAACAATCGCACCCATCTACCTAAAACAGCCATACAAAAACAACAAAAATGAGAGCTGCTGACCACTTTAGCATTGCACCTTTTTTCTTCCCACAACAAGAATTACAAACAGCCTCTTCCATTATTTTTTACCAGAAGGGACCAAATAGTCAAGAGCCTACCCCATTTTAAAAATCACTTAAAACTATTAATCTAACATTTTATCAACGTTAATAAGAATGAAAATTATAACTATGTAGTTATTTGATACATGTTCATTCGAAATGGAAGTTAATAACAATTTGATAACATATCTAAAAGGGAAGACCTGAGAAGATTGATATTTGGCAGTTCTTTAAGATATTGTTGGAAATATTTAATTATTTGTAGCTATTATGAAAAGTTGTAAAGATGAGCTTCTGAAAGAGGAAGTATCAGTACATTTTATAACTTTGCAGAGACGAGTAAATGCTGCATGCTAATCAAGGATCGTTCAATATGTTGACAAAGTTTAGAAGCACTTGTATTAGAGCATCTTCTGAATGCAGACACAGTAAATGTAAACCTATAAAAAAAAGTTTAACTCAGTAAGTATAAATAGTAATACTGAGATTTTCTCATCCTAACATAAAAAAATTTTGTTTAAAATACAAAGGTTACTTGCATGTTGTTAAGTTTAAGAGGGATCCTGAAAAATTTTTATTTATTTTAATTTTTTTTTTTTTTTTTTTGTAATTTAAATTACATATTCACATACAAAATGAGATTAATTTTTGTTTGCTTAGGATCTAACAAAACCAAATTTAATATTTTTCTTTATTTGTTGATTAAATAGTTAATTCCATTTGATAGTATTATTTCAGAGATTTTATAATTTTGTAAGTTATAAAATGTTTTACACTAATAGTATTTTATTGCCAAATAAATCAGAAAAAAGTTAAAATGTGATTATTGAAAAACCCTCTAATTTCCATATAACAATCAAACTGGTTTTGATGTTTTTAAACCTGGCTTCCAAATGACAGATTATAACTTCCTTTTTTTTCTAGATTAAATATTTATTTGCAACCACAAATGTAATGACTTAATGTAATGTGTAATGACTTCATTTTTTTTTTGTATAGGATCTTCATTTTGAAGATACCATAAAAAAACTAAAGGGTTATTATGGAATACTTAGTATATATAATTTTTTTTTCCTTCTTAAAATGAACTACAGAATACTACAGATCACAAAGCTATATATACGTTGCTCTTTTTCCTAATCAAAATAATACTTAAAATTTTTTCCACAGACCATTTAATTAAATTCTCAAGTTATAGGCATAATGTAAAGACACACTATGTGATATTTCTAAAACTCACTTATTATTTTCAATGTTGTAAAATGTACCATAGCCTTCTTCTGTCATAGGCATCACACAACCACCTAGGGGAGTATAGCCAACACAGCTGGTTGATAAAATGAAATTTCCATTTCCACCACTGAAATTTATTAAATAATTATGTTGAAAACCTTTTATATTGAATGAATCAAAACATATTTTATACCTAAAACTATTATTTAGAAACGCTTGTTCATGATACTTAATTAAAAATGCTACAAGGATACAATAGTATTTTATTTGTGTAAAAAAAAAACTATAACTGTTGTACTATGAAATAAATAAGCATAAAAGAAAGCTATTTATAACAATAAATATGAACTTTTTAAATATAATTAACTACAGAATTGCGAGATTTTATTATTTGTGGTTAAAGATTAATATTTTCAAAATGTAGTTTGGCTTTTAAAGTGCTACACTTATGGCATTTCAACCTTTGTATACGAACTTGCCATTTGTAGTGCAGGAAAACAACAGGGATAAAAGATTAAGTAATAAAAATGAATCAAAATTTTCAAATTTGTTTTAAAATTTTTCATATATCAACAGTTTGGTGAGTTTTGTATAAAAGGCTTTGAAAATCAATTTTTCTAAAAACTTCTAAAAATTTTTATTTTCAAACTATTAATTGGTCTAACCACATTATGGATTATGTAATGACCTATTTCAAAATACGATATTGACTATATTGAAAATACGATATATTTCATAAATGAAATTTCACTAAAAATCAGCTTTTTAAATGTGTATTAAACATAATGCACAGTAAAACAGCAATTAAGAAAATACAATTATCCAACCGGTCTCCATTTAAGTCAAAAGAATTACTAATAATCCAATTAAAAATGTGATTTTTTACAGTTATAAGAAATAAAAACCAACTTGACAAAATATTTATTTATCAAGCCACAATTAAATTCATATAAAATGAATTTAAACCTCTGAAACTAACAGCTAGTCTTATTCAGTTATAAAATGATTAATATGAGACATGTATAATATTGGCGATGTTGACCTTGTTTTTCTTTTTCATATTTAATTATCATAATGTAATTAACTATTACATTTTGATAATTATTATTTTACTTACCAATAGAACTGCACACAGAAAGTTATAATTTTTGTTTTAGCCTTCAAGATGGTATTGCACACATATCTAAAACCTCACACCATTTTCTACCTAGAAACAGTCCTGCACCTAGAAAAAGTCCGTGATTTTCTTTCGCACTGAAACACCAACCTATCTAGAATTGGACAGGGGAAAAATGACCCTTAATTTCACAATTTTCTGATAGGAGGCCTAATTGGTTTTCTGATTGGCGGAAACAGCCTGAAACACAGTTGTATAACAGTAAAAAAATGTGAACATTTTTAAAAATGAAAGTATTGAAACCAACATTGAATTAGGTCTGGCCAAAAAGTATATCTAAGAAAAGTTTTTTTAAATGTGTATAAAGTATGGATAAATGGCCTAGAGAAAGACATTAAAAAATAAAAATTGGAGATCACTAGCAAAAAAAGGTAAGCCCGGAAAAAAAAAACTTCTTGAGAAGGCCAAGGCCCACCCTGGGCTGTCGAGGCATTGATGATGATGATGTATAAAGTATTTACCTCTTAGAGAATGAAGGATCGCTGAAAATCTCTGGAAGAGGTACGCCTTCTTCAACTGATAACATATATAATCCTAATAAATGTCTATCACAACCTACAATAAAAAGAGTGTTGATATTCATAAGATAACATTTATCGGAACAACAACGGACATTTATAAGATAAATTAAAAGTATGAAAACGCCAAGATATCATGCAAAATAAATATTATACTTTTAATACATTTTTTTTCTCCATTTTCCAAACTAAGAAATAATAAATTATCCAAAAATTTTATTAAGGCACTGTTTAACACCAACATTTCTAATGAAGAATATCTTGGAATTAAAGTCTTAGCTAAATCAATATTGAAAATAATATTGTAATCTTCTATAACCTGAATTTTCGTTCCAACTTTCAATTATTTAACAAATTGGAAAATCTTTATATCTTTATATATTTTGTAATAAAATGAGTGTCATTAATATTTTCAAAATCAAAATTCTTACTTAAAATTTTGAATTCATTCCAAAAATTAGTACAATGAAAAAAAATACTTATCTACCTTTATTATCAGTGCAATCTTTCATAAGTGTTTTAAATTTTTCAGCAGCAACCATCAAGAGTTGAAGTTTTTCCCCTGCCTGCAAGTTATAAAAAAAAAATTACTATTAATTAAATAAACTTTAATACAGACTTGTTTAAGAGTGTTTATCATCAAACCCTTTGATGCAGATAGAACACCTGTGTCTCTTTCTTGATTTTTGTCTCTTTCATGACTTTTCATGATTCTTTCATGATTTTGATTCGAATTACAAGCAAATAGATATTTTGGTACTTTTTAATTATAAAAAAAGTGTCTGATAGTCACTAAAAAATAATTTGTTCGATTATTGAAATTATATTTGTACCTAAAATATAAAATACAAAAAAAATTTTCATTCACATTCAAAGGTTTATCAATTGATTTTGTAAATTAAAAAAATTTTAATGATGAATAACTGTTTCTCTTAGACCTAAATAAGTGCAATTTTGAAGAATCACTGTAAGTCGGAAGGAACATTTTACCTTTAATGTAGAAAAAGACACCAGTGTGTTTTATGCTGTATTTGATAACCATAAACTATTAAAATGCTAAATATAATATTTTTCACTTATTTTGACCTGAATTAATACAAAATAATGAAAAAAGTATGAAAAATATGTTTCTTGAGAATTCTGCATCAAAGGGTTAAAACACAAGTAAAGTTGTACTATTTACTTGTAAAACAAATATTAGAATTCAGTTCCCATTTATGCTTCATTTTGTACAAATATCTTAGTGACATAACAAACTGTTTAATAAAAATGAAAAATATAAGTTTTCATCTTAAATATCTCAACTATTTGGAGCTTGCATACAATTCTACTGCATTTGCAGTATTTAGAGAGTAAAAAATGTTATAATTACCGATATTTTGTCTTCAATCATAGATTGTACCCATTCTACAGCTTCTGGAAAACATGACCTCATAGTCTCAGTCCTGCCATGGTAAAATTGGCGTGTAGCTGCCGTCACATAAGTAGGGGCAGGTCTATTATTAAAAAAAAGTATAAAAATGAAGCATATCATAAAGAGTCATAATTTTTTAAACACAGTTACTAGTAAAAAATATGTAGTGTCTGTAATTTCACATCCTTATTATCAGGAAGGAGTCAGAGTAAACTTTTGTTTTAATGATTAACAGCAACTTCCAGTCAGAATGTGTTCTTACTACAAACATAACAGCAAGTAACCAAATTACACAGATAAATCTGTGAGTTAATCATAAAACAGAAAAACCAATAAATCAGGGAATTGATAACAAGGGCGCCGGCAGAATAATATAAAAGGGGGTGCAACCCTCTAACAAACTAACACCCCTACCAAAAAAAAATTTTTTTTTTAATATTCTGTTATTACATTTTGTTTTGTTTTTACATATACTTTCATCTGTTAATTATTTTCAACATACATTTCTTCATTGTTAACAAGATAATTAAAAAAAAGTACGAATTTCTTGTACTTGCAAATTTTGCTACGAGAAACTGTATTGATGGCGCTGGCATAGCTACTGACTTTGAAACACAAATAACTACAAACAGTAATTTTGCATACTAAAGTGTTTGTGCACGCTTAACATTGGTATTTATTGTGTTAATGAAGTTCTACAGTTGGGAGAAGTCAGTTTGTGTTATACACCTTTGTTAAACTGAATAACTAATAGAAAATATAATATTACTTATATTTTATTAAATGAAATTTAAAAATATAGCTTAGATATCTGCCAAGTTTGTGCATGCTCAGTGTGCATAAGAAAAGAATCAAGGATGATTCAGAATTCATTGAAAAAGTTATAAACAGATTTGGACAGCAAACAAGACGATTGCAATTCTTGCTTGATTAAGCAATTTTTTAATTGTTATGTATCAACAATTACTTATTTGTTTTTGAATAAAAATATTTTTAATAAAAAAATTTTATGACAAAATTGTTTTTCTGTATCTCTTTAATTGTTTTTTAAAAAAAGTCGGCGGGGGGAGGGGGTGCAAGTACACCCTCTTGCACCCCGCGCCCTTGATTGATAATAAATCAGATATCAATAAAGTATGTCAGTGAATCATCAACTAAATAAATTTAGGAAAGAAATATTTAGTAAATCAAAAAATAAGTTAATTTATGAATCTGTGGGTAATAAATCAGTGTATCCACAGGTTATCAAATCAATGAAAGAGTAAATAGCTATCAAATGAAATAATTAGTCTATCAAAGAAAGAGGAAATTGGTGTATCAAAAGCTCAATGAATCAATAAATCAGTGAATTACAGAAACAATAAATATATGAGTCACTTAAACAGTAAACAATAAATCAGTAAATCTTTGACCTGTTGATTTGTTTTTGTGAATTCATTTAGGCATCATAGTGGTTCAAAGAAAAAATCAAGACAACGTTTTTCAAACAAATCAGGGCATTTTTAGAACAGTACTATACACATACCCAAGGTTGCCACAGAAAAAAAATGGCTGAAATAGTTGCTTTTAGTAGCTTAAAGCAAGAAAATAGTTGCCAAAATAAGAACAAAAATTCATCAAAAATATGACTAAAATTTTGTTAATGACTTAAGTGTCATATACCATGATCCATTTAGACAAGTTGGTGGCAAATATGATAATTTTTATATAAACGTTAATGTTCTAGCACAATTTTCCCTTTTATCAATAATTTCTCTGGGAAATAAATAAATTAATATATATACACACACACACATATATATTGTGAAAAGTGATTACTCAAATTCGAATATTGTATAAAAAAAAACATTTTTTTCTTAAATTCTGCAGAATTTCGAAGCAATAACCATTGAAAAGACGACCGAGAAGCGAAATAGACTTACAAAGGAATCTGCAGATTGAACGAATTAAAAAGTGAAGACTCAAATTTGTAATTCAAAATTTTAAACATTTTTTATTTTTTAAGAAAAAAAGTTCAGTTTGTTCAAAATCTATTGTGGGTCGCAGATTTTGAACCTTATTTATGCTAAAAAAAACATAGCTAGGAGTACAGACAAGTCTCCCAATAGTCTCCTCCTCCTGAAAGTAGTTGCTTTTTTTAGCCTTTTCAGGCAAAAAAAGTTGCCATAGTCGCCTCATGCCAAAAATAGTTGCAAATAGTTGCCTTTTAGTTATCTGTGGCAACCCTGTATACCAGACTTCTTTTAAATAGGGCAAATGACAAACTAAAAAAAGTATAATTTTCTCAAGGTACCTCTTCATAGATTAAAATTGACATTGTAGATAACTCTCCCCACATTGGTGACCTTCAGACGTGATGTGAACATGCCTACCTTGACAGAAACGCACAGTTTGATATGAACATGCCTACCCTGACAGTAATGCCCACTTTGATTTGAACACGCCCACTTCGATGGATGGTCCACATTGAAATGTTGACTTGCTACTTGTGACTGCGACATTATCCACCTCCTTGCTCTGTTCCTACTCAATCTCGATGAAACACGAAGTTGGCCAGCGCACACTCGACTGCTAAAGGCAACACAGGAGCAACCACGAACTTAATACAGCTCTCCCGGCTTCTCACAAAAACAGAAATTAATCAACTAGTGGTATCCGTTCATCGAATTCTATCACAGATAAAATTCTGGTGGGGGAGTACTGTAGTGTATCTACCACTACAAAAATACAATTTCAATTCCCTAGTATATAAGACCTGCTGACTTCTGCCCCATTCCTTCTGGAAATCCCTCATTACTGACTTTGATTGTTCCAGAATCTTAACATCAACAATTACAAGACTAAGAACAAGCCACTTTAAAGGGATGAAAATTCTTCCTGACAAAATAAGAACTTATATTCCCAGAAAGAACTGCGTCAATATCCAACTTACCCCGGATCACATTCTCGAGTGCCCAGCCCTTACCCCATATGTTTTACAACTGGGTATGGTGCCACTGGCTTCAGAACTTCGTGAGATCCTCTACAGTANCTTACCTTTTTTGAAAATTATAAGAATCCAACGTGCTTCTTTTTCTAAACAATAAATTCACAGTTACAGTTACTCGTTCGACCGCTTCACTGGCGGCAGCAGACAACTTTAACTTGGTGGCCCATTGGGTAGATACAGACTGACGGGATGCGGCTGTTTGTAATGTACAGGCCCAACACTTCCTACAATGTTGGCAAAAGTTCATAGGGTGGCCCAGCAATCAACCCAGCTGACAGTAATTTGCACCTTCACTTTTCAATCAGTACCGTCAGTAATTTCGAAGATGGCCAGAACTTATGTTTTTGCTGGGTTCAGAACTTTGTGGGATCCTCTACAGTAATGATGTATTGGAGCTAGCGGATGCAGTTTTGAAGGCACACGAGGCCATTTAATTGTCCATGGACACGATAAAAAATAATAAGACCTGTTAACTTGATTCTACGTTGGGGTACCTTTTCATTGATGAAAGTTGACATTGTCCATATCTACTCTCCCCGCAACACGTTCACAAATTATAGCAAAACAGATACAAAAAATATGCTTATTTTACTTACTTTCCATGCATTGTGTAGTAAGCTAATTGTAAGGCAAATTGAGCATATGTTTCAGGATGTATGTTATGTACTTTCAAAAAGCCTTTCCCATACTGGGTAAAGTATTCAACTGCTACCTCAACATCAGCAGCCTAAAAGGAAAAAAAAACCACATGTATATTCAAACTACTATGCTTTATTCATAAATTTCAATTTTAATAATTTGAAAAAAGAATGTAAATCAAAACTTATAATTTAATAATTAAGTGGCATGTTAGAACATTATATGTAGTATTAATTAATTACAAAATTTTTTTTTTATTTACAGATGAGTCAATCATGGTCTAATAGATTAAAATATAACTATATAAAGTCGCAAAACTAATGTAGTTTTTTTTTCTACGTTCTCTTGTTTTTGTACCATATAAAATAGTTTAGATAAGAACTGATTTATTAAATATTAAATGCAAAAAAGCTATTAGATGAAGTCATCATGTTGAAATTCATTTAAAATTAAGTAATTTAAACTTAAATTGCTTGACAAATCTTACTTTTCTATATTCTAGAGAAAAACACATGCAATTAAGCAACAGACAACTGGGCTCTAAAGTACCACAATAGCAAATTTTGTGCAAACAACATAAAACATAAAAGAACAATACTAAACTATTGAAATAAGTAATCAGTTTTAATTACACTTTTATTTGTTTTAAATTCTGGAGTAATTAGAATATGTACGTAGATTTCATGAGAGTTTTGATGGGTAACTTTAAATGTCCTAAGCATATAAATTAAATGTAGAAGTCTTTAATCATAAAATCTTAAAATATATCAAAGGCTAATTACAATCTTATAACAAGCGTTGAACAGCAGACCAAATTTAGAGTTTAAGACTATCATAATTCAACTCTTGAACCCAACTCAGAAGTCAAGAGAATTTCTAGTTAAAGCATTGGGTCAAACTAGCTTTCGGAGAGGATTTTTGATGAAATTAATCAGCATTTGTGCTACATGGAGAGGAAAACGTCTCATGGTGAGTCTGATGATAAAAAAAGATTCTGACGCATGTTTCATCTACCATTGAAGATATTTTATGTCAGCCCTGTGTCTAGTGCAAGACGGGAGCAGAATTCGTATCAACTAGCCACCGCTGGGATTCGAACCTGAGTCACTTTATTCAGAGGCAAATGCTCTATACCCTGTCCCAGCATGGTTCATCAAATTCTAATTTTATATTTTATAAACGTTGTTGAAAAACTCCCAGGGTTAGCCTGGCGGCAAAGAGACTCTAACCCATGATCCATCTACCACTGAGGGGATTCACAAATTATGATTTGTCAGCACTGTAGTGCTAGCTGCGTGCAGAATTCATACCCGGGCCGTTGGGTGGGGAAAATTCTATTCTCTGATCCCCAGCATAGCTAAAATCCAAGGCTAATTGTAAAAATGCGTTAGTTAGCAAATATCACTGGCATTCTACAATGCACCAGACTAATTTTTAAAAAAACTTTCCTAATATTTTTAGACTTATTACAATCGGTCAATCTGCCTTTAAGACTGATTAGGAAGAGTGTATAGAATTAATCAAACTGAGTATGCTTAGGTTCATGGCAATAAACATTCTCTAAATTTATTTACAATAAGATTTCCCTACTTTGAAAATAAATCAGGCTAATTGAGCAGTGAATGAAGTATATTTTATATATATACAGAGAACACGGGAGACATTTCCAATTAGCCTAACACATTGCAAAATGATGATGGCTTGATGCAAAGAGATGGATAACTCAATTAGTCTATGCCGCATACATTATTCCTATTAAGACTTTTATGAACTTAGCTATAGGTTACAAAACTAAAATATCTTACTTAGGTTTGTAGCCTCTAACTTGAACACTAAATTTGACAACAAAAAAAAAGTACCTTGAGAAATTGAGGTTTATTATACAATTTGAAATATTACCATATAATAATAATAAATATTTAATTCTCATAAAAGTTTATTAGATGTTATGGTTTTTAATATAAAATGAATCTGAACAATGTGGAGTACGACATGAACATTCAATGGAAATTATAAGAAACAGAACAATATATATTTATAAGAAACAGAACAATATATATTTATAAGAAACAAAACAACAATAAAAATGTAAATGTGTGACAACACTTGCCATTGTTTTGTAAAGTTGCTTTGCTTCAGCGATGGCAAAATTAATATCATCATCTAGATGAAACTCTAAACGTCTTGGAGGTAATAAATCTCTCTCAACTGTTTTAGTACCCTGTTAAATATTTTAGAAGAGATATTAAATTTACAAATATAGGAAATAATGTATACAAATACAGCATACAAGAGAAAAAATATAAATATAACAGCAGTTCATCTCCACAACTCAATTTGAGAAATAAATAAAAATTGACCTTATATCAAATCTTTCAGTTTGTTTCATTTAAGATATATTTTGTTAAAAAAAAAAAAAAAAAATTAGGAAAATTTTGAATATATCTCAAAATTTAAGCGAATTGTAAAAAATAATCACAAGTTACTCTATTTCTTTTAATTATTTTTTGAGAAATAGCAATTTGCATTATGAGCTATCAAGTACAAAAAACTATAAGGTTTTTTCATTGAAAATGTGTAATAAGTACCCAAATAAATCTATATGTGCACTTTACAAGCTTTTGAGAAGCATTTAAAGTTTAACAGAAGGTAAGAGAATAAGGGGAAAAAAAAGATTTCTATTTTTAAATATTTGTTCAAAATGAACTTTAAAAAGAACAATTAAATTGAAATGTTAGATAAATGGAAAAAACAAAACGCATTTTCATGGCTATAGGGAAGTTTTTACTGAAATTAAAACAATAAAAATTCTTATATACATTTACTATTGTAATATAAAACATACTTTTTTTCAAATTTATATTTACTTACCTCTTATATTATTTAATCTCTTAATGAGTTTTTTAATATTTCATTTTATTAAGAGATACACCTTCCATTACTGTAAAAAAAAAATCCCTTCACAATTACAAACAAAACAACAACAAAAAAAGGCATTAGGAAAATTTATGCAGATAATGTAACCCATATTTTTAATAGTTCAAAGATTTAATACTTTCTTAATTCATTTATTTCCCAACAAAATTTTGCAGAAAAAATGGAATAATAGAATGTAAAAAAATATATATATGCTATTTTATAATTGATGCCCGGTGGCTGAGTGGTAGCACTTCACGCTCCCCTGTCACAGGTCCTGGGTTCGATCCTCCGGCCGGGCAAGGTTGACTCAGCCTTTCATCCCTTCAGTGGGTCGATGAATGAGTACCAAGCTTGCTCGGGAACTAAACACTGGGGGTTTCGCGCTTGGCTAACTGCCTAACCAGAACCCCAGAGCCCAAGGTCAAGAAAACTGAGATGGGCACAGTAGGCCTTGGCCCTCTATGGGCTGTCACGCCACTGAGTTTAGTTTAGTTTATTTTATAATTACAAATATGTATTTAGCTTTAAACAAGTAACATAACTGTAGGCATGATTAATATACTGTACCTTCCAAACTCCTCCATATTCTTCTAATGAACTAAATGCAAAATGATTTCCAACAACTGGAACAAGGCCATCAAATGCTGTATGCTAAAAACAAAAAAATTATATTGGTTAAAACACTTAAATTACATTTTACAATGTCTTTCTGAAACAACACACAAATAATAGAATTTTATACAGATAGCCATAAAATATATTTATATGCTGAAAATTATCGTTAATCATGAAATTATAGTTCATTGAAGGTAATTATATTAAAAATAAATTTTAACAAATGCATTTTATTTCTATACCTACTGTTACGTTAGTAACTAAATAATTCGATTAAGACTAAAAAAAATTCTTTTGCACAAAATAATTTTAATAGCCCAATATTAGCATTTAATTATGTCACTTAAATACATTGTTGACTTAATACATGGTTAACATCATATACATCGCTTAAATACATAGTTAAACACATAGTGTTTAAAAGATTATTGATAGAACTTAAATATTTATTATGTAATTATTTTTAAAATTAGAATATTTCAAAATTTGTAAAATAAAAATTATTAATATTTAATTCAATGTTTGTTTTTAACTCTGATAATAGATACTTTTATATCAGTTAAACTTTGAATTTTTATCTAATATCAATTTTGTTTGTCTGTGCATCATAAGACCTACATTTTACAAAACATTTTTTAAAAAAAAATAATACATTTTAACTAAAAAGTAAAACTGCACTTCCTTTAAATAAACTGCTTTAGAAAAATATGAAGTTTTTTCTCTTATACACATTAAAAAAACTGGAGTGTTGCATTAAAAAAATTTTAAAATACATTAAGATGAAAAATATCTACATTTTGGTATATTTACTACTTTTTGGTATGCTTTTCCAATTGTAGTTAAGCTCCTTGAACACAAAATATCTCTAATTTCAGTTATTACATAATAAGTGGAATGAAATGGAAAAAATCTTACATCAGAAATTAAACCAACAGAGCCATTTTTGTGAATGACAAATACAGATGATTTATCTGCCCAGCGATTGGAAGGATCACCCGTTAAAAGTGATTCAGCAATCTACAAATAAAGAAGTCCTAAATATGAGTAACCATGAAAAATACTTTTCATCTCACTAAAACTGGATAGAAGAAATCAATAAGTAATGAACTATGAATTCTGAGAAAAATTAAAACATATGACAAACAATGTTATAAGAAACAATTTTAACTTTATATACATACACACATAAATATGGGGGGGGGTACAAATTCTAACCCCCCCCCCCCAAAAAAAAAATGTAGAGCATACNCAAAAAAAAAAAAAAAAACTGTAGAGCATACAGAATGAAAGTGCAAGAATAATATGCACATTTTATGGAATAATATAATATAAATTTGAATTAAACACTTTAATAAAGAAAATTTATAATGTTTAAATAAAAAATAAAAACAAATCCGTTATAGTAAAAATTAAAATTCAATATTTATTTAATATAACTTTTCAGATATTATTTCTATTTCTTGAATTATTAGAAGTTTTAAAATTTTTAAATAGAAAACACTTTTTTTTTTAGTTTTTTCCTAAAAAAAATCACCTCAGCTAAAAAAAATTAAAATAAAATAGATTACAAACAGTAAGTGGTTTAAAAACTCACGTTCTCCAAGAGTTTTTGAATTTTTCACTGTGCAATAACAGTGTATTAAAATATCAGGGTTTTAAAAACCAAGTACAAATGTATGGTGCCAACTATCAAAAGCACGAAAAAATAACTTATATTTACAATGAAATATGCACAAATAAATTGTATCAAATAGTGATTAATTAAATTCCCTATTATTGAAATCAGCAAAAATTACTTAAATTTGAAATTTATGTATTGTAATATTGCCTTAAAAATATTGGGTCTTTTAAAACCATGAGAAATTTTGGAGCAATAACCCATGAAAAAGCGATCAAGAAAAAACATAGATTTATAATAGAATCAGTGTGAATTAAGAGCAATAAAAAGTGATGACTTAAACGTGTGATTCAAAACTTAAAACATCCTTATTTGAGAGCAAATGTATCATATTCTGAGAGAACAATGTGAAATATTTTTTATTTGAGTAAATTTTTTTAGACTTAATAATATATTTAGTTTAATTTCAGAAATTTTTTTACTTGTTTTTTTTCAGTGAGAGACTTATGTACCCAGCATACCAGAAATTTGTTATCTCATAATCAGAAATAGGGGTTTAACTTATACGCCATGATAAATGCCATAAATTTTTGTAAAATTTCAACAAAAGTTACAAGCGCAGGTTATAGGAATTACACAGCTGGAATTTTATGAACTATAATGTGCAAACTGACAAGCTGGAACCATACTACACATTCAAAGAGTTCTAATGTCACAAGGTGATTTCAAGTGGTCATCCGTGTACAAACTAAGCTCTATGATGCTTGACACCAGTAACCAGACAAAAAATGCCATTTTTATCATGGTCTGTTGATGTTTGATTAATTTGAATGTTGTTGTCAAGCATATTTTCTTTTAATTTAAAATAAGTGTAAAAATGATTTTAATGGGGCTTTGATCTCAATTTAGTAATTTTATTTATGCATAACTTTTACATGTTATAATATTTGACACTTTTGTAACTTTTATTCATTCCTTCTAAGATAAGCTTAAGACAGGCCCAAATAAAATAGGAATCACACTTTAATGGTCATGCATTTAAAAGGTTATATTTCTAACAATATTTCACAGTTTTCAATGTTATTAGAGAAAAAGTATGTTTGAAAAAAATTATTACCTCGCAATTTCTCATTTGTATGATCACCAGAAGGTCAATAGAGAAGGAAAGTTTTATGTTTTCATTTGAATACACATTAATACATAGACAAACAAATATAGTTTCTAATAGATTTGAATCCCGAATATTCTTATAATATTACCAATCAACAAGTTTAAACATCCAAAGAGATTAAATCCATGCATAAAACCAATAATGAAGAAGCTCATTAACCTTACACTAGCTAAACCAACAGGCTCAGCATCATCTAAAACAACCACTGTTAAGGCAGAACTAATAGTGTCCATGTGCAATGCATTTTCTGGATGTATTTGAAGTAGATGAGCTCGATTCTAAAGAAAAGAAATATATTATAATTAGATAAATATTTGAAACAAAGTAACAATTTTAAGAATTCACATCACAGGAGAGAAGAATATAAATGCATTAAACAGAGAGGACAAATTTTATGGTTCACAAGTAAAATAGCCAATTATAATTTTTGTTGTTACATTAATAAGCTGACAATTTTTAATTTTAGTTGTTATGACTTGTAAATTTATTTATTTGAACTTATACTTTCAGTATGCTTTCAAAATAATATAAATGTAAACAAATTTTGGAACATTATAAACAAATTAATTAACAAAATAAAAATTTTAATCTAAAATTAAAAAAGAATTACATTAAAACTACTTGTATTTTAAAAAAAATACCATGCATTTTGGACAAAAACCTAATTTAATATAATTTAATATCAATATCATAACTTTTTTTAAAATTTATTGTTTTTGTACTTTTTTTTAGGTTTAAATCTAACTAGCCTAAATTCTAAATAACCAAAAATATCAGCAATTATAATCCCATAAATACAACATCTTCATACAAATTACAATTGGTTTCAATAAAATAATTCAGAGCAAATAATTGTGCCATGCTGTAGCAACAAATCCAATTTCAATATATAGCCTTTTCTTATATAAAAATATATATAGATATATAAATTTATTTAAGAAAAATTAATTCATTAATACAATGTAATTTGGAAGAAAAAATTCATAACCATGAAAAGGATAACTCTAATTGTTACTTAACTACTAAAGCTGCAAACAGTTATTTTAAAATGAAAGTAATTTTTATTAATAAAGACAAAATTAGTTAAATACATTTACATAATAATATATTCTTCTTAAAACAGTATTGGATACAAAGTTAAACAGTAATTTTTAATCCAAATGATATGGTTTTGAAATTTTTTTGTCTTTTGTTAATATTTATTTTTATTCCACAATAATCATTTTAAAGATATTATTAAAACAATATTCTAATACATAAGAAAAATTTGAGGGCTCAATTTTAAATAAAAAATCCTTTAAAAATAAATAACAACTGATCTCTTTTTATGTGTACAAATATTTTTGAAGATGGGAAAAAAATTTATTAAAACAGTATTCAAAAGAAAGTCTTGTCAAAATTTAGAACATTAATATCCTTAAATATTGAAGATGAAAAAAGAAAACATTTAATTTAAAATATTTTTTTCAGCAAAAGCAAAATGCCTTTTTTTATCTTAATTAAATTTATTTATAGTAAATCTCCAATCATCTGAATTATTTTGGGAAACAAAATTAGACAAGTAAAACTATAGTATGATATAGCAAAGCATGACATCTATAAACTAAATTTAGTTATAGTTAAGAAATCACAAAAAAATTCAAAATTCAAACTACAATGTTTCGTAATCATTCAATTTACATTTATTTATAACAACATGCAAATTTTGCTTTCTACCTTAAAAGTAATAATTTGACTTCAAAATTCTCATTACTCAAATATAAGATTGCAACTAATCTATGAAAGTTTAGTTCGATTTATATGTATGATATACTACACCTTCGCCCAGGTTGTTCTATCTGCCACCGTTAAGGCACTAACTGATGATCCTGAGCCATTTTCCTTGCACCATGACTGAATTCGTTGAAACTGTAACTGCAGTTCTGGAGGCAACAAGATATCTCCATACTCATCAACAGCATCAAATGTAAATATATGACCACAGTGTAAAATTACAAGGTGAGTTGGAGACAATGGTTCTTCAAATTCTGGAATTGAATATGCTTCTTTTAAACATGTATAAGAAAATCGAAACTTTAATTGAAAAGTTATTTGAATTCATTTCTAAATAAGCTTATAACACTTTTTCCTAATGAATATAATGCGGCATTTGATGTTAGCATCAGACTGATTTTACCCTGAAAGAAAACAGGTTAGTTAGAAATCAGATTTTTATCTGAAAAATTGGAATTGGAATTTATCACTTTTATGGGAGCACAGATATGAAAATAAAGACTTAAAATTACTTTTTTTACCTAATTTTAATTTTTTTAAAGATATTAAAAAATTTTCATTCATTTTTTTGGCAAATTGCATTTATTTTGTCTATTTTAAATTTGTATCAAAATAGATTAATACTAAACTAGGCTTAAACATAAGAATCAAAAAATGTCTTTCATCATCGTTCTCTTGTTTAAAAATAGTCATATTAATAAAATCTTCATTTAAACAAAACTTTCATAAAATTTCTAATGCAATTTCATTCTGAGAACAGAAGTGTTCAGTTTTTTGAAAAAATATACGGTGATACCGCCAAGAAAGACCACCTCTATATTTTACATAACAACCTCTTCTATTTACGACTGTCATCTGAGATGCAAATAAGAACAATGATTTTTCACGTAGCACTTTAGATAAGTCTTTTGTTAAAAAAAAAGGATTAAAATGAATAGAAAAATTTTAAAACATCTTCACTTTTTGCAAAAGGCTTAATTTATAGTACTAAGTATACTTGGGGACTAAACACTAGGCGCTGACCACCCAAGTGAAATGTCCGCACCCCAGAAATAAGATCAAGAAAACTGAAATGATCTAAGTAGACTCTGGCCCTCAATGAGCTGTCTCTTCACGTTTTTTTGGTGGGGTTCTTTTTTTATACTAAGAATTAAAATTTATATTCAAACTAATATGTAAAGAAAAATAACATCTAAAACAGACCAAATTTTATATACACATTTACATTTAGAAAAAAATGAACCAATTTTTTTAAAAAAATATTTCTTAAATCTTATGCAAAATCATAACAATGACAAAAAAAAATATTTTGCAAAATACCAATTTAAAAAAAAATTGGCTGACTACCTCCAACTAAATGTATGTTCTTTTCAAAAGTCACATTGCTTCAGTGTAAAGAAAAGTTAAGATTATCGTTGAATATTCAAAGTGTTATTGTATATCACCAGATAAACATTTTTAAATAATTTTTTGTAAAATTATTAATAATGAATACTACTTTATTTCATGAATCAAACATACCTGTGTGAAAATATGATTCAATTCTGTCAATTTTTTCTCCAGGTATTCGAACAGTATTAAAATAGCGACGGAATTGATGCATAGACCAGGGAACATTATGAGAAGAATGAGGCTTTAATCGTTCTCTGAAAAAATAGCTCTAAATTAGAATATAAAAAGCTCTAATAATTGATTACATGTAATAAAACAGAAAGTATTCAATTTCACATAATTTTGCTTAAAATTTAAAAATAGTTTTGGTAGATATGATATATGATTTAAAACAAGTTTGTAATTATCTTAATTTACTACATTGTTTTAACAGCAAACAAAATCAGTAGTTCAAAAATGAAAGCTACCATCTAGAAGTGAAGCAGATTAGTATTTGTCAATTCTGCTTTGTTACAATGAGATCATTAGCAAATTTGATTTTTTTTTTTTTCATTTTGAAATAAAATCTATTTCAAAAGTTTGTTCTATTTATTTTGAATTGAATATATTCAGAAATAAATATAAATAAATATTTCTTTTTTTTTATTTATTTATTCAAAAATAAATTCATTCCAGAAAAAAATAACAGGGTGCATAGCAAGATTTTTCCACAAAAAATAAGCACCTAAGCAGTCAAAAAATATTTTAATCACTTTCGAAAAAAAAAATCATTATAAGGATCTGTGCAGCAATAAAAATTATTTTTTCTATCGCTTAAAATTCTTAATTTATAAACATAAAATGAATGAAATTTAAAATCGGTTTCAAAAACTTTGCATACCTAGTTTCTGATAAATATTGCAGAGAAAATTGTGCATTTCCTGCAATTTAAAACGACAATTGCAACGGCAAAGAAAAAATCTCTTTTTAAGAGATAGAAAATCAAGCACTTTTTACAAGCCCCGAATAAAAAAACCACCTTTAAGGGCTTTTTAAAAACGTAAATCAAAAATAAGCATCTTTAAGCACTTTTTAAAAATGCTACGCATCCTGAATTATGAGAAACAATTTAAAGCCTGAGGTTGGTCTTTGATTATTTGGAAATATTTTACTCATTATAAGAGTTCGCTCTATGGAGTGAAATGAACCAGCTTGTTCATTTTAACATTATGGGGAAATATATGGGTGTTTATGATAGGGTGTTGAATTTAACCCTTTGACATAGAATTTATTTATTAACATAGAATTATTTGACATAGAATTATTAAAGAAAGATATTTTTTATATTTTTTTGTTATTTTGTATAATCTAGATCAAAATAAGTGAAAAACATATTTAGCATTGTAATAATTTACATTATAACAAACAGCATGAAACAGCAGTGTCTTTTCTATGGTTACAGGAAAAATCTTTCAAACACGCCTCATTTAAAAAAAAAAAAAATTTCAAATTTGCACTCATTTCCAGTTATTTAGATTTAAGATAAACGGTTAGTCATCATTGAAATTTCTTTAAATTTTTAAAATCATATATTGACAAATTTTTGAATATGAATGAAAAAAAATTCAAACTGCTTCTTCTAGATTTTTTATTTTAGTATAAATATAATTCTTATAATCTAACAGATATTTTAGTAACTATTAGAGTGTTTTTTATAATCAAAAAACATAAAAATTATTTTTTCTTGTAATTACAGCATTAGGAAGGAAAAATATAAAGGAACACTGTTGATCCTTTCAATATCTTCATTAAAAGAATGATGTTGATAACCCAAATTTTTTTTAAAATTAGAATATAGTAGATCAGGTTGGATGAATATGTAACAGGTTTTATAAACATTCACAGAACTTTTTATCCAGATTGACCAATAAAAAGGCCAAACTTTAACCCCATAAAATATCTGTGGGACATATTGGAATAGCAGGTAAACAATGAACCGAGCGATGAACTTGAGCCATTTGTGAAAGCAAATCCTTAGCTTAAACTCGATAGTAAGCACAGTGTACCAAAAAAAAGGATCCCCCTGAACAACTTTTGATATAATGATTGGATCTTCTTGTTCTAGGACTCGAGCTTAATGGTTCAGAGGGGGGACCTCAAATATGCTAATTAATTAGTGCAGAGGATATTTTAAGTAACAGACATACTTTCTTTGAATAAACATACCTCTTTAAAACTATTAAATAAAATAATAAAAAATAATAAATATTTACTGAAATTTATTCTTTTGCATAGAATTATCTTTGAATAAACAAATTTTATAATTGTGTGCAAGAAATGTTCAGTTTCTTAAAAGTTCTCAAGATACAGCAAAATAAGCAAAAAATAGAATTATAGTAAGAGTTCCAAATTTTGGATCACTCTCTTGAGCAAAATATTATGACCATTTTTCACTAATTACAGCTACCCTCTATATCTTGGGGTAAGAAATCCGAATCCATTAACAGAAAAGTATGTTTATTCAGAGAAAATACGTTTTGGGGTCTGATTTCATAAATTAAAATATCGTCTGCACTAATTAATTATCATCCTTGAAATCACCTTCTTCTTATTCAGGGTGGTCTGGGGGTTTTTTTTCGGCCCACTGTACATGAAAAATGTTGTGGACTCACTTCAAATTCAAAAAAGATTTACACAGTATTAAATTATATTTTGTAAGTTCTCTAAGGGGTGACAAATATTTTACCTGTGTAGCTAACATTACATTAAAATTAAAAATTGATTAAAGTTTGATAACTGAAAATCAAAGTATCATTTAACCAGTAGGTAACACTAGTGGGAGGGAAATAGTTTTGGAGAAATGATATTTTAAGAAAGTTGTACAGCTAAAATTTGATTTCTTGAGAACTACTCAATCTGGCTCAAATGTCATATTTTGCCAGTCAAAAATTAAATCTTTAAAATGTTATAAAAATTTGTATACCCTACAATTCAAAATTTTTATACTATTATTAAATAAAATAATAAATAAAATTTGTTTTTTTTTTTGTTTTACAACAACAAACAAAATTTATAAGTCTGAGTAAAAGTTTTTGATTAGCTTAAAAGTTTCTCGAGAAATGGCAAAAAAAGCAAAAGGTAAAATTAACATCAAGATTTTCAAACTTTTGACTACCCCTCTGACCAAACCATTCCTCCTGAGAATATTTTCCATACTGTAGCTACCCCTTCCCTCATATTTTGAGGGTCAAGAATCTGAATCCATCAATAAAAGTATGTTTGCTCAGAGAAAGTAAGTTTTTTTTTTATCTTGTTTTGTAACTTAAGATATTGCCCACATTAATCAGCTTATTTATGGTAGGTGCTTCAACCATTAAGATTAAGTTTTGTGATGTGAAAAACTGATTATTAAATAAAAGTTATCCTTCTCACTCCTGTGAAAATGACGGGGTGAGGTTCCGCTCTCGTCATATTTCTGGGCTGGAGTGTTCAGTAGTAACGTGCAAATAAAAATAAAAATAATTCTTTTTTTTTTTGCCCGGAAAACATTTTATTTCTCATTTTACACACCAGATGGCAGTACCAAGATATTTTTAAGGTAATTATAGATAGTTTATTTTAAACTAGATGTCAGCACTAATCAAATACGTGTCGGCAATCAGGGATAAAAAAAATAGGCAATTTCATGACCATTTCCTTGAAAATTAACCGATCATTAAGGGGTTAAGATGGTCACTTTTTATTTTATTTTTTTGCATGTGTATATTCACAAATTAAAAAACCAAATTGTAAGGCTGATTGTTTTCATAAAAAGTTACATACTCTCTAAGCAGCTTCCAAAACTGTAATTGAAAATACATATACAAAGCAGCTCTTTCACTTTGTGATTCGGATAAAGGAGGCCAAGTATCGCCCATGTTTGTAAAACCAATCATGCTACATAATGGTATCAAGGGAATTCTGTTAGATAAGTATGCAACATCTTCCCACCACTTCTCTAGCTAGAATAATAAAAGTCATTATAATATTTTTTTTAAAAATTATACCATTCAAGTGCATAACAAAAATGTAAATAACTGGAAGAAATAGATAAAATTTAAGGATGTAAATATGTCATAGGAAGGTAGAAGATTTCTTACATATAAAAGGATAACTGAACATTTAAGATTGAAACTTATAATACATTGAAACATAACTAGAATATTTTCATCAAAAATGGCAACAGGAAAATTATTATTTATAAAAATAAGGGAGCAATGTACACTAATTTACAGTAAAAAAATTGCCTTATTTTAACAAAGTATATAAAATTTTATTGATAATGATAAAAGAAAAATGCACTTCGCAATTTAGAAACATACAATAAAAATGCATTGAAAATATCATTAAAAATAAGAATAATAAAAATGAATATTATTTATATGAAATGAAGATGAATGTAGTTTATACAAATTTACAGTAAAACTTCAATCTATTTTAACAAAATAAATGTGATTTTATAATGTACCTGATGAAAAAGAAAAACTTTAAAAATAATGGATGTAATTATTATTAAAATTATTAATTTTATTTATTGGAATGGAAAAATTTTAGTTTTCCCAAATTGAAAGCATGAAATTGCTCGGTTTTAAAAAAAGCAGACTTAGCAAAAATAAACTATAAAAGTAGACTATAAACAAAAATGTAAATTAAAATAAAAAATTTTTATTGAATTACTACACATGAAAAGGAATAAAAACATTAAATGTCCCAATTTTTAATGGCCCAAATTTACTCACATTTTTTTATTTACAAATTTATAAGATAATAGATAAAATCTTAAATTGATAATTCGTAAAAAAAAAAAGAAAAAAAAGGAAAATAAAGAAAAGTTACACTGTAGAGTGGTCCAATGCAATTATAACTAGTGGCATACAGAGAGGGGGGCAAGGAGGGCAATAGCCCCAAGCATCTAATCAATTCAGGCATCCAATACTTCAAATGCTAAAACATTTAAGTACTTAAACATTTATTAATTTTTTACTATTTTTTATACAAAATTAAATTATTTTAAATTTGAAGCTAACAAAATATTTTATGAAGAATAAAAATGATTTTTAGGTATGATAAATTCAACAACAAAAAACTCGAAATGAAAACAATGAAAAATATTCTTTTATTTTTAAAAAAAGAAAAAATAATTCGGATAATTTTCCAGAGATTTTTTTAACCTCCAAATAATTTACAACTATATAAAAAGAATCTTAAAATATGGTTAAAAATCTCCTATCTAATGTTTTTTTTTTTTTTAATTTCACGAATTAAATTGGCTATTTTCTTTGCAGAAAAAAACATTCCCGTTTTTAAAGACATCTAATGTAAACTAGAGTATACCCTAAGCGTTTTTAGAAAGACAGCCCGACTTGCCTGCTATTTTATGTGTCCTTTTTACAAAAATAAGCCCTTAGAAGCACTACCTTTTTATACAAATTCCATTTTTTTAAAAATTTAATCACTTTTTAAATAACAATTACACACAGGTGAAATTATCTGTGTTTATAGGCTTAACTCTGATTACTATTAGAAATATTTATTTTGTGAGGATTGATCTCAAGTCATTAAATTTTTAAAAGTTTTCATTTTCTGTTGGGGAGGGGGTACATTAATAAATTTTTTAAGTGATTTTAAATTTTAAAATTATTTTTAAATAAATAACTTTTCATAAAAAATTCACTTTTAAAAGTTCATTTTCTTATTATTTTCAGTTTTAATTATAGAAAAATGCTAAAGTCGTTAATCAATTAATCATTTTTTTTTTTAGTTTACTTTTTTTAAAAGAATTTTCTGCATAGTGATTGTCTTTCAGCGTGTCTTTAATTATATTTTATAAACCACAAATTTTTCTCTTATTTTTTATAATGAATGAGAATTACTTTCTGAATTACCTACACATACAAAATAGTATAAGAGGATAATTTAAAAATTTACACAATAATCCAATAATTTACCCAATTCCTTTCACAATCAGCTTTTTTGGCCAATAAAGAATGAAGATCTTTTCCCACACCAGTTTGGAATTCATAAACAAGCTTTTTGGTATTTTGAAACTCATCTTCCGTTACAAATGGTTTAACTGAAAATAAAGAAATTAAGTACTTTATTTACAGGATATTTTCTTCTTTTTTGACGTAGAAAAGACATTAATAACTCAAATAAAAAAAATTTTTAAAATTTACAAGTCTAAAATAAAATTAAAAATGCATAATTAAATAATTATGTACAAAAGTTACACTGTTTTGGAAAGAATAATTTTCAATAAAAAACTTTAAATCAAATAATAAATACTAGCGTAATAATAAAATAAAGAATGAAACCGTGTTTTCTAAGTAAAATGTTTTGTTAACATGTACAAGTCATACATTCAAAGAAAGATCTAGTTCAACTTAAAATTTACCAATCTGTTTTATTTCTCCTAACGAAAGTTTGTTTTTATTACATTATTAAATAATAAATCAATGCATTCAAGTTAAAAATCTAAGTAAAGGTGCACAGATACTTAATGCTCAAATGATTCATTCCTTTATTTCACATTAATTAAACTAGAAAGTAAATTAAAAAAGATCAAAAATACTGAAAATAGAAAATATTTAACTTATTTAATAGTATAATGGTAAAGCTTTTTTGTAATTAACAGGTCACATTAAGTTAAAATAACTTTAAAATATAAGTGCTAATTGCTCAAATGATTTATTTCTTTATTACACATTAATTAAGTAAATTTTAAAAAAAATCAATAATACTAAAAATATAAAATATTTAGTTTATTTAATACTATGGTAAAGCTTTTTTGTTATTAACAGGTCACATTATGTTAAAATATAAGCGGTCAATTTAAGCAATAAAATAAAGAAAAACAAAACAGAAAAACAATTGACTATTTATTAGGTTTACATTTTACAAAGCACTTTAAGGTAACAGCTGAAAATTAAATATACAATGTATGATATTGTAAAGGTAACATTAATTAGTTTTAGTATTGCTGTCAGAAAAATTCACGATATTTTTGAAACATAGAGATCACCAAATATTGGATTATTAAAGATGGAGAAAATAATCCAGATTCACAAAATAATTATTATTTGCCAAGTAGTTCAGGAAATAAAAAACTATTTAATTGTAATAGTTAATTAAAATTCCATTAAAAAATTGGTTATTATAGTTATATCATTGCAAACAAGGTACTATATCAATCCAAAATTTCAATTGTGATTTGAATATGTAATAAATTTCTATGAAACTGTTTTTAGTCATTATGCATAACAAACAAAATTAAACAAACTATATGATGTTTATTGGAATCCTGTGTAAAATTTTTTACCTGACTCTAGATATTTTGACAGTGTTTGATTCAGCGAAGGAACTGGAAGACTCGGAAGGGACTCATCATTGACAAATGTTTTCTCAGTTTTGGAGGTATACAAAGCATCTCGTTTGGGAAAATCTGAAGGATCTTTTGTAGGACTTTGCTTTCTTGGACACTATAAATAATAAAATCTGAATTATTTAATTTTACACGTGACAAAAAAAAAAAACAAGAGCTGAAAGAAATATTAAATTAAAGGTATGTTTGTAATTACTTAGGATAAAAAGACATCTATAGAATTCTAAACGGAGGCACAAGTGAAAAGCATCAAAAAAATTTAGAACTCCTTTAATTTAATACTTTATTTCATTTAGTTTTTTGAATGTATAAAAATTAAATTAAATAAAATATAGTTAAATTAACTTATGCGAGGCCAATTAAAAAGTATACTTTTATTCTCATTTGAATATTTTAAAATGATATTCAACTAAACTATCTAGCAGTTTTTAGTAACATAAGCATACATCAATATTATAAAATTCTTAAATTTGTATTTAAATATTTTAGATAAATCCATAGGAAAATAACTCATCATGCAATGAGAACTCAGTAATAATTCGAATGTTTTAATAATATGATATAAGGTAATAAAATAGATTTAAGAATTTTGACATATCAACTTAAACAAGTTACATAATACTAGTTGATATAGAAAATTTTTTAATTATATTTTCCATAAGAATTATTTTATAAAATAATTCTTATAATATAAGAAACATAATTTTAAAAATGCTACATAAATAACGAATATTTTAAGTTTATTAAGAAAGATCTTTGAAATACTTTCTTAAATATAAATTTTGAAACATATGTAAATATTACAAACAAAGCGAAAACGAAATATTTTTAAATAACACCTAAATAAAAAAAAATAATAATAAACGAACCGCAATTAAAAAACGTAAATATGACGTAAGTATATAAAAACAAAAGACGTAAATATATAAAAACAAAACAATCGTGAGTTCTATTCATTTCGATTATCTATGATGCCAATATCAAATAAAATTCATCCTAAGTAAACAAACATAACTGTAGCAGACGATATTTCAGCTGTTATTAGTTTCGGTTTCAAATGACAATTACATTTCCCTTTATGAAACGGTTTTTACTACTATGATTAAATTTCTCATTAAATGGAATTCACTAATTACCTGCGTTGAAGTAGACATTGCGATTTTCGGTACAAGTTTTTCCTAGATGAAATTTGGTGAATGCACTCTGTCACAAATAGATTCGATGGGATTACATAAACACTGCAGCAAATACGGGCAATTGAACCAGAGTCTTGTATGATCAATTATCAAAAATATACTAATTCCTATTTACATTGATACAACAAATCTACCGCAAATAAACATCATTATCACATTCTTTCGACCGAATCATCAAGAAGCGACTAGTTCTTGTTATTCGATGCAGATGATACAAGTTTTCATTCGATGATTTTAACACGCCCCCGGGAAACCCGCATGCAGCGCCGCAGTCATGCGAATCAGAAACAAAACTGAAACATTCAGTGGTAAAATCAAAGGAACATTTTTTTTTTTTATTTAATGAATGAAAAAATGTCTGTTTGATTAGATAATAATGTAATAACAGAAATAAAATTTTCTCTTGATTCTTTGAAATTTCCTCAATAGTGATGTTGGGGAAACAATCAATAATTTTAAATGATACTTCTTACAACATAAAAATGAAATTAGTTGTTATTTTCAAACATAAATCAGATTGAGGAAGTTTTAAGTGAAAAAGTTATCCTTCAATTATAAATTATTTCGTTATAATTGGAAATTTTGTTTGGACTTAAATTCGAGCTAACGTTAGTTAATGTATAATTTTTTTAAAAAAAAATCTTTCTTTTCTACCTTTTGCTCTAAGATGTGCTTTATGGTGACTATACTTAAAAAAATAACTAAATTATACTTTTTCATAAATACATTTGATTACCATGCAAACAAAGCTGCAGATTTTAGTGATGTTAATCTAGTTTATTTTTCAAAATTATTATTATTATATTCGTCTAGAATAAAGTACAAATATAAGAAAATTGCATTTCATATCTACGAAAATATAATACCCAATTCTTTTGTCAGGGGAAACAATTGTTTTTATATTAATTTCTATTTTAGCAAATTTCACTGTATCGTGGGAACTAGTGAAGGAAAAAATTTTGTTTTCAAAGATGCAAAAACAATTTTATTAATTTAAAATTCTTTTTTTTTTTTTAATAATGGACGGGGAAAAAAATTTAAATGTTAGGGTATGCAAATTTTTACATAATTTATTACTATCTAATTTTAAATGAGAACTATGCTTTTATCATTTAAAATTTACAACTATACAACATTAAGTGACAAAATACAAAATTTTAATGAAATCTGCCACATAGTTTCTGAGCTATAAAATTTCAGAAAACGTGCTTTTTTAAAATTTTGTTTCTTAAATTTTTAATACTATAGCGACAACACATAAAGAAAAATTTACATTAGGGGGTTCAAACTTTTGAGTGCCGTCCTGTCTAAACTATTAGGAATACATTTTGATTTTCTCAATTTCGACTCGGCTATCCACCTTTTTTTGACGGTAAGGATTCTAAATTTGTCAAAAAGAAAAAAATGCTTATTTAGAAGAAGTAAGTTTCCCGATTTGATTTTATAACTTATTCAATTATTAGCGTTAATTAGTTATCTTATTTAAGATCGGTACTTGTAAAAAATTAGCACTTAGTGACCGAAAATCCAATCATTAGAATAAAAGTTTTTAAAAGTGATAATCGTTTGTTTCCTTCACTGCACTTAAAATAAATTAGTAATTGTAGAATTTATATTGAGATGCTACAATTTATTTCTTATGTTCTTTCTCATTTTTAAATTACCAAAAATGCTTCCAACTACAAATTTTACCAAACATTTATTTAAATGTAGACGCCTCTTTAATATACCTACTTGCATGCTTAATGAAGGAAAAATAGCGATTAATTTAAAATAAACTAGCACAATTCTTTTTATTTGTCTTAATTTCCTCCTTTACTACTAGTATTTCTATTTTTAAAATGTTTCCTAATAAATAAATCTCTGTTCCCTTTTTAATATTTGGTAAATAAAAATATGTATTGAATCAACAATTACACCCGCGTTCTTTCGAGAAATTACCTTTATATAAAATTTATATTTAAAACTTAAAAGTTAGGCCACTGTTCGCTATCATTCACCAACCCCGGTGATAGTTTCGCAAGGATTGTTCTTTCTTGGCATAAAACAGTTTTTTTCTACCAATGAATATATGTACTAAGGCTCTTTAATAACCATTCATTACGTTTATTTCGGTCCTTTTTCATTTTTATTTCAATAAAATCCAAATTTTTAGCTCATGTTTACTCAGCTTAAATCAAACGTAAAATGCATACGTCACTCCGGACCTGTAAATTTAACTGTCTGACATAAAAGTATTGATAAAATGATTCGATGAAAAAGATTCATTTTTATGCAAACATTAAATTAGTAATTGATAAAATTTCAATCATGAAATATTTTTATTTATTTATAAATTAGTTAAATCTCAGGGTTCCGCCAAATGATGGTCGATCATTTAGGGTTCCACAGCCGAAAAAAATTGGGAAGTATTGCTTTAGAGAAGTGTTTCCCAAACTTATTACTTTTGTGTACCCTTTCTGAATTTTTCGTAACGTTGTAAAAAGAATTGCACTAAAGTTAAAAATCGCTACTGGCTGTTGACGCAAGTAATTATTAACTGTTAACTCAGAGAAAAATTACCAATAGAAAATAATCGTAAATTTTCATAGCTAGCTTTGTTTTTAAAAGTTTTTTTTTTTTGAAGTTTTTATTAGTTGCAAGATAGTTTGCATAAGAACGCGTACCCCCGCTGAACTGTTCCCGTACCCCTGGGCAGAGGCGTATCTATGGAAAGAAGCGCCTATGGCAAACCTCTTACTGGCGCCCTTATATTAAAATTCTTTTTTTTTTTTTTATCCAATACAAAATAAAAGCATTGTTTGAAGTATTTAATTCTTTTGAAAATATCACGAAAATATTGAATTGAATTTAAAAAAAAAAAAATTGATAAATATTAAATATAACAATAAAATTATCTCTTTTTAATTGTTATGCATTCACGTGCATTCGAAATCCTCATCGGTAAGAAATTAAATACCTTTTTTATCATATTTATAGAAGATTCTATTGCGCTTTTTCAATTGTCAATAAAAATTCTAAGAAGTTGTTTAATTAAGCACAATTATATTTTAAAGTTTTACAAATATAATTTGGTAACAGAATTACGTACACACAACAAATGTAGCTCTGAGTTAAAGAAGAACTATAACATAACCGGATGATTACTCAACATTTTCAAAATTAAAACTGAAGGAAATTGATTTTTTTTAAATAATCACGCTTTGCTAACATCAAAATAAAATCATCGCGATATAATAAATTCATTAAAGATTACAGTGTAAATAATTACGATTTGTTATGATAATTACGAATAAAATAGCAACAATAAAAAAAAAGATATATTTTGATTAGTTTATTTACTGTTCAATAAAATAAAAAAACCGATGCTCTTAATATAATTACGTTTTACAATCCTTATATAAAAACAGATAATAAGAAAAAATATACACACAATTACATACAAAACAAGACTTAATAACGACAATAATACATTTTTTATTGAGAAATAAATTAGGGGAAGTTGACGATTAGTTTTAAGAATATCTAGAAATAATTCTTTTGCTAACAGTAAAAAAAAGGCAAAAAGTAAAGAAATAGACCAGAATACATTCTAGCATATTTAAATTAAAAAAAAACAAATTATGAAAAATTCTCTTCGCATCACAATGGAACAAATTAAAAATAAAGCAAAATATTAAATAAATTTGAATTATAAATTTTTAGACGTTCAGTGCGCAAAAAAATAAATAAACGGATCATCCTGATAACTTTTGATCTAATGATCAGATCTTCACTTTCTTCTCATCTCAATGGTTCAAGGGGTGACTTAAAATATGATAATTAATAGGTGCAGGTATGATATTTTAAGTTACGAAATCAGATACTAAAACGTACTTTCTCTGAAGTTTCTGTTTATACATGCCATTTTTTCGACGGATTTGGATTTCTGAATCCCAAAATTTAGGGGGTAATCGCAATCTGAGAAGTACCTAGAGAGATTTTCAAGCAAAGTGAAAAAAAAATTCTGCGCAATTATAAAGGTCGTTTATAATTGTGTAAATTAAGTTGTTTTTAAGGAAAAAGAAAAAAATATAAATCATTGAAATATTCGAGAAGATGACTTTTTGCATCTTTATGGAAATACATTTCTAAATATATTCTTAAAATAAAGATAATTATTTAATGAATAAATATTATTGTGATTATCACTTTATTGATAACTTTTTCTTTCAAGTTACTAAACTGTTGTAATGATTGGGTTATAAACTACACATTATAACATTAATATTATTTTGCTACCATTTTACTTTGATTATAAGAAATAAATATAATATATAAATGGAGGACACTTAATAAACCCATTTGAAAATAGTATACCAATTTTTTTCAAGCAATGTGATATGGGATGATATAAATGTAATGTAAGTAACATATATTGTAAAACACTTGAAAATTAAAAGAATAGTATTTATATAAAATTAAAAAAGTAGTATTTATTTAATCTATTTTTTTTTTAAAAAAAAAGGGAAGAAAATGGCAATCTGAAAAAAAAGAAAAAATATAGGAGAAAGATTTGCGAAATTTTGTGGCCGAGAAATAAGGAAGAAGTTGATTCAATTTCAAAGTCAAAGACAGTTTGATAAATATTAACTGAATATAATTTAAAAATTCAGAACAAACATGTCTTTAAAAATTAGAAGAAAAAATTTCAATTTGTAAGTAGAAGGATTATTGCAATTCACATTTAAAGCATTAAAATATAATTAAAATTGTGAGTGAATATACTTCTGTAACTTAGAGTACAAAAAAAAAAAAAAATGCCAACAATTGACGATATGCTTCACCATTCAAAGGAAAAAAAAGATCAAACTTTTACAAGTGGTTAAATTCAAAATTTATCTATTAATAAATAAAAAGAAAAGCATGTTACTTCATGAATGTTACTTACTTGTAAACAAAAAATTATTTACCTATCGCAATAAATTTTCAGGAAATTTAAAAAATTATGTCCCCAATAACATTTGAAATTTTAACATTTATCTTTTTTTTACTACATATTAATTTTAATAATAAAGCATTAACGAATATTTAATTATACAATGTTTAATTATTACTACAAAAAATTCCTTGTGCATGTTAAATGTTTTTTCATATAAAACAGCAATAATAGAAACTAAAAAATATTATAAATTCTAATTTATAAAATTAAAAGGGGGGAGAGCCAAATGTCCCTCTCGATCTATATGTATATAGAGATGC